CATGTCCTCATCCTTTGTCACTTCCGGGCACCTTTTAGTACTGTTGACAACCCCCACTTTGAAATGGAGTCCTAACATGAGTTTGTTTTTTGATAATAGATCAAAAACAACGTCATGTTCATTGTTTCTTACTGACCTTCTTTTTCCTTGGCCCTCAGGCAACGGACTCCATCCTGACTTCATTCAAATAAGGAGTTTCCTTGCACTTCGTTTAAAAGAGGAAACTTCTCTGTAGTAATACAACTCCCAGAATACCTCTCACCAAAGCCATCCCTAAAGGGGTGTGTCTTACGATGCAAAACTGCTGGAAGTCCCAGAGTTGAATTACACAATCAGATTCTGGGACAGTGACAGACTGTTTTCTTTCAAATTCCTACTTCCTGAAACCGAGGCTGTTTATGAGAAACAGTGTATTTCAGGGAGATTCCACTAAAATTAACCTTTTTCAGAGTCAGATTTGCTGGTCTTAAAAGTGTTTATCCTCTACTTCGAGACAAAGGTGAGTATCAGCCTTTAAATGACAAAACACAGTAGATGTGGATACAAAAGATGGCATAATGTATAAGAAAGTATTTTTTCTGAACTGTGACCTTGTTTCTACTTCCTGATCTTATCTACATTTAATAACTTTAAAGCTCTAAGAATACTTGCACTTCCAAAAAACGCCACAGAAAGAGGGTGAGGGTTGGGAAGGGGAAGGAGCAACAAACTCCGGTTACTGGAGAAAGAAAAAAGGAACCTGTTTTTTAGAAGGTTTTTTGTTTTGTTTTGCTTTGTTTTTTATAGAAGGTTTTAGTAACAAAGTCCCTATGTCAGGTAGCTTGCTATTGAACATCTGGCTTTGTCACTGAATTGAGGTGTTTGATTAAAGCATTAAGAGATGGGATTGGGACACCTGGGTGGCTCAGTCAGTTAAGCGGCTGCCTTTGGCTCAGGTCATGATCCCAGGGTCCTGGGGTCAAGCCCCACATTGGGCTTCCCTGTTCAGCGGGGAGCCTGCTTCTGCCTCTGCCTGCCTCTCCCTCTGCTTGCTCTCATCCTCTCTCTCTCTGTCAAATAAGTAAATAAAACCTTAAAAAAAAAAGAGAGAGAGAGAGAGGTGGGATTACTTACATGAAAAATTAACCCCAGGACTTTTGCCTGGAGTACCTAGGTAATCATAACAGAAACTATCACTTGTACAATGACCTCAGTGATTTTGCCAGGAAACAGATAAGAGTGGAGAATTATTCTTTTTGTTTGGGAAGAACTGACGGGAATTCTGGGTGTGGTGAAGCATTATATAGACAGAAAGCAGCTAGAAAAATTAAATTACTTCATGCTTTATGCAAAGGAGTCTTTTCATTAACAAATTTTATCATTTGGAATTAGGGCTCTAAGACTCATTTGGAAAGCCACAAATTATGAGCTTTAGAATAGGTTGGGACTTGCAGGTGGGCAGAAAGGAGGGGATTTGTGTGGCAACATAATGGCACCACTGTAATATTTGCTTCTAGCTCCCTCTGCCTTTTCTTTTCTTTTTACTTAGTGCAGCTAGTGCTTTTATGAGAAGCAATCTCTGCTTTTGGCTGATACTTCATTGTTAAGAACCTTTTAAATTCCTTACACATAATCACTGCTGCTGTTCAAGTCTACACATGATACTTCAGCATAGTCTCCACGCTCCTTTGTTTCTCCTGTTTCCTCCTTTGCCTCGAAAACATTTTTAGTATTGAACTATATAGAGCATTTGTAATTGTACTACGGGAGCTGTGCACCCCTGTCTCCATGGGATGTCAGCAGATTACATGTGTGGTGAGCACAGTTTTGGGTAGGGCTGGGTGTAGGTTCACTTACCACCTGAGAGACACACCAAGCTTAACCAAATGCCAAGTCAAGTCTTTATATCCAGTGACCAAAATCATTTACTTCTCTCTTTCCACCTCCCCCTTCCGAACTCTTGCCAACTTGCAGCCTCGAGAGAAACAAAACACTTAAAGTATTCTGGCAGTAATTTTACTTTCCACTTCAAATATCTTTTGAATTGGAGTTGAAGGAATTCAAGTTCTTCCCTAACAAGACACCAGAATTTTATAGTATCCTTCACTGGCATGAGTAATGTTAGGGTGGTTGGTGATGGGGGCAGCAAAAAATGTACAAAGAGTAGAGCAACAGGCAGGAGACAAAGTTTATTCACTCTCCAAGGGAAGACAAGGGCCAGATGTCAAGAGAGATGTCAGCCTGAGTTTCTATTAGATTGGGTTTTTTGAGGGATTTTAAAGGATGTGTAAGGGTTTCAGCTATGCCCATGCGGCGGGGTGTGTGTGACATGACTCTTTGCCAGGTAGAGCGGGAGGTGACAGGTATCTCCAGGAGCTCTCTCCAGGGCTTGTCCAGGATGTGCATTGTGGTCATGCCAGAGAAGAGTATGTTTTGTAGTGGGGTCTGTTTTCTGAGAATAAAAGGTACCATGACATAGAAAAACAAAGAGTGAGGGCCAGGTATAAACACCTATGAGTTTTGTCTGTAACATTGGCTGGGGAGGGGGCTTTAAATAGATTCCTTTCCAGAAAGGAGCCAATAATTACTTTAAATATATATATATATATATATATATATATATATATATGTATATATATGCATATATATATATATTTTTTTAGAGCCATATGTAAATCATGATGGATGTTATAAAAGCTCACATGAAATAATACTGTATAATGAGCACACCTGGCATATTAAGCTCTAACAATCTCCCCTTGAGTCCTATGGGATCTAAATTTGGGTTTAGAACCTGGAGTTTTCTTTAAGAATAAGTGTATTCAGGGGCCCCTGGGTGGCTCAGTGGGTTAAAGCCTCTGCTTTCGGCTCAGGTCATGATCCCAGCGTCCTGGGATCAAGCCCCGCATCGGGCTCTCTGCTCAGCAGGGAGCCTGCTTTCCTTCCTCTCTCTCTGCCTGCCTCTCTGCCTACCTGTGATCTCTGTCAAATTAAAAAAAAAAAAAGAATAAGTGTATTCATTTGAAAATATTTTCTGAAACTCTGTGGTTCCTCCCATTCCAAAAGAATTTCACTGACCCCTTTCCCTGAACACAGTACACGGACTACTTTTACTGTCCCTTAATCTATTTCAGAGGATGATGGCTTTTTAGCATAAAATGTTCATTGAAAATGTTTTCCTGAAATTTTAAGCACCTAAGTTTTGGAGAATTTTCATAAGAATGTGCATTCAAACTTTTGATGTAAACTCATGCCATATTTTTGTTATTGTATCTGTTGCCTCTCTATATAGGTGAGTCTGTTTCTTGTTATTGACAGTGATATCAATTTTTGCAGGACATTGTGGTTTCCTGTGTTTCTAGAGTTCTGTGAGATAGACAAATTAAAAAGTAAGAATATTATTTGGTGCCACCATTGTATGTGTAAGGAACAGAAAGAGATGATCATAGCTTTAATATCAGTTATATATTAATACAGTTTTCTCGAAGTATGGTGTACATACTACTGATTTCAGCTGGCACATATCCAAACTTCGAAAATTTGAGTTTTATCTTTGGTTTAATGTGAATTAAAACTATAATTAGCTCGGGACATCTAGGTGGCTCAGTCGGTTAAGCATCTGACTCTTGATTTCAGCTCAGGTCATGTTCCCAGGGTGGTGGGATGAATCCTAGTGTTAGGCTCTGCACTCAGGGCAGAGTCTGCTTGCGATTCTCTCTCTCCTTCTGTCTCTGCCCGTCCCCCTGCTTGCATGTGCTCTCTCTAAATAAATAAATAATTTTAAAGACCAAATAATTAGCTCATAAAATTTATGATTTAATGAATATTATTGCTCAGGAAGATGTTAAGTGAAAAGAAAGTGAGGTGTTTACTACCGATTTTAAGGAAATGAGGAATTACTCTCACAGGTAATATGCAGACATGGTAAAAATTAAGGAGGTGGAATGTAAATGGCTAAAGTTTTGGAAATATTGAACTAATGTGTTTGATAAGTGGATATTTTCTAAATCACTGTAAAATTTGAACCCCACTGGTCCTTGATTATGCAGCTCAATTAATAATAACAATCTGTTAAATTTCATAATTACAGATATACAAAATAGCTGATAAAAAATGCTTTATCATTTTATCATATCTTCAGTCCTCATGAATTGCCATAAAATTGAAGGAATATAGAAGGTAACCAGTATTTTTTGAAACAAGAATCATAGAGAGGATAGGGGATCTGAGTGGCTCAGTCATTTGGGCAACCAACTCTTGATTTCCACTCAGGTCTTGATCTCAGGGTCATGGGACAGGCCCATGCTGGGCTCTGCACTCAGCGTGGAGCCTGCTAAGGATTCTCTCCCTCTCCCTTTGCCCTTTCCCTGGCTCTCTCTCTCTGTCTAAAATAAACAAATCTAAAAAAAAAAAAAATTGGAGAGAGGGTGAATCAACCCCAAATAAACACTGTAGTTCTATTCTGCCTGTTTTCCCACACACTGATATCTTTGCAGGGCGGAGAGGGGTGGTGTGGGCTAAAGGGTGGGAGAGGAGGAGGGAACCATGAACATCATCTAGGTCAAGGGTCATTAATGTATCATGAAGTATGCCAATGGTCCTTTAAAAAATGATCATATTGGTCATATCTTTTAGGGAATCCATTCTAGGGAGGATATAATTCTTAATATGGAGAAAATTCACAAAAAAAATAAAGGTATTTATGGTAACAACAAATTATAAGCATTCTTTTTTTTTTAATTTTTAAAATTTATTTTCAGCGTAACAGTATTCATTGTTTTTGCACCACACCCAGTGCTCCATGCAATCCGTGCCCTCTCCAATACCCACCACCTGGTTCCCCCAACCTCCCACCCAAATTATAAGCATTCTAACAAAAGGGAAAGGTCAAGCAAATTATAGTACAGTAGTCCCTCATTTATCCATTTGCACTGTCTTGGTTTCCCACAGTCAACCCCCACCAAGAAGCAGATGATCTTTTCTGACGCTTCGTCACATGCCTGCATTGTTCACCTGACTTTATCTCCTCACACAGGCATTTTATCAGCTCACATCACCACAAGAGAAGAATGGTGAGTAAAGTACAGGCATATCTCTTTTTATTGTGATTGCTTTATTGCACTTTACGGACACTGAGCTTTTTATAAACAGAAGGTTTATGGCAGCCTTGCATGGGGCAAGTCTGCCGGTGCTGTTTTTCCAAGAACATTTGCTCACTTCATGTCTCAACGTCACATTTTGATAATTCTTTCAAATGCTTCCAACTTTGTTGTTATTGTTATGTGTGCTATGGTGATCTGTGATGAGTGATTACAACAACTTATGGAAGCTCAGATGATGATTAGCATTTTCTAGCAATAAAGTATTTTTTCATTAAGCTATGTACATTTTTTAGACATAATGCTATTCCACACTTAACAGACTAAATCATAGTATAAACGTAACTTTTATATGTACAGGGAAACAAAAAACGTTTATTTGACTCACTTTATTGCAATATTCACTTTATGGTGGTAGTCTAGAACTGAACCCAAAATATCTTCAAAGTATGCCTGTACAGGAGTGCCCGGGTGGCTCAGTCGGTTAAACATGTGCCTTCGGCTCTGGTTGTGATCCCAGGGTCCTGGGATCGAGCCCTGCATTGAGCTCCCTGCTGGGCAGGGAGCCTGCTTCTCCTTCTTCTCCATACTTGTGTGCACGCGTTCTCCCTCTCTCTCTCTCTTGCTATCTCTGTCGCTATCTCTGTCTCTGTCTCTCTTTCAAAAAAAAAAAAAATGTATGCCTGTACAATAAGGTATTTTGAGAGAGATACTACATTCACATATGTTTTATTACAGTATGTTATTATTACTGTTGTATTATTATGGCTGTTAATCTCTTCCTGTGCCTAATTTATAAATATATACTTTATGTATGTATATATGGAAAAAAATACGATTTATATTGGGTTCAGTATGGCTTCAGGCGTCCATGGTCTTGGAATGTATCCCCCAAGGATGGGGGGGAGGGCTATGGTATATCTGTAAAACAAGGTGAAGAATAGTACCAGCATAGAAAATATTGAGTGAAAAACAGATTCAGGATCAATTAACTATTATACTTACAACTACATAATTCATGTACAAAATATAGAAAGAAATAAATTCACAAATATTCTAAAAGTGGTTGTTGTCTTACAGTGATAAATTAATTGTTCCTTTTCCTTTATCTATGTCTGTATATTTATTTTTATATTGACTTTTCATATTACTATCTAAAATAGTAATATATAATATATATAACATATATAACATAATATATATAACATATATAATATATATTATATAACATGCTTGTATTACTTTTTGACACAACTAATAGAATGTGTTAAATAAAACTATGCTGCTGCCTAGTTAAAAACAACTGTGCAGTCTTTGAAAAATAAATCTTACCTTTCCTTTATTTGGCATACAAATAACTAGCTGTCTGAAAAAGAGAGGATTGAGTCTCAGTGCTAGAGAGAATGGGCATAGAGAGTCAGAGAACATAGATGGACATACCCATTGAAATACTACTCTCAGTTGATTTTTCTTGCATTGATTGCTTCAGTCTCAACCATGGTTTTTACTGCAGTCAACTTATTCTTTTGAAGAAAGGAAAAAAGGAAGGAAAGAGGCAAGGAAACTTTACATGATATGCATGCTAATAATTTCCTAATTAGTTTCTCATTCTTTCGGATTCCCATAAGCTGGAGTTGTCCATTTATGTCTATATGTGTTATACTTAACATTCATTGTTGCTGTATCTTTGCATATACTCCTAGCACCCCTCAAAGTATATTGTGTCGTTGGCTTGCCCAGGAAACTTCGCTTAGAATCTTAACCCTAACATATCTAGGTACTGTGATACATTCCCCATGAGTGCACTATAAGCACTAAAAAAATACTTTAAAAATTTCAACAAAATTCTTGTCTGTTCATAAGTGTTTTTCATTTCTATAAAAAAGAAAACGCTTAAGTCCTCATCACATGTCCTTTTATTTGACCACTTTTTCAGAAGAACTTAATCTCTGATTATAGTTTGGATGCTGCAGCTCATCATTTTCCAAGATAACTGTATCCCTACCCAGAAATTTGCTTCCCTAAATCCTGCCCCGTGTTATTGTGAGGGATAATAAAATGTGAGTGAATAGCATCTCTTCCAAGATATTACTCAACCAGGTTTGATTCACATCTCCAAAAGTTGCAGGTTCTTTAATAAGAAACATTTGAAGCCTTTTGAGCCCAGATTCCCCTGCCACCTCCCATCTCCCCTCTTCCCCAGTGGGCCAGAGAGGTGGGTGGAGGATACCAGGAACTAGGTGGAGCTTCTAAAGGCACAGCTTGCAAGGGAGCTAAGAAGCAGACAGAAACACCCCTACACAGTCAATTCCAGGCTGCAGGCTCCAGCCTCTCAATGTCGATGTGGCAAAGCACTTCATCTTTGTAGCTCTCCTTCAGGACTTTTTTTTTTTTTTTTAAGATTTTGTTTATTTATTGACAGAGAGAGACACAGGGAGAGAGGGAATACAAGCGGGGGGTTTGGGAGGGGGGGAGGCAGGCTTCCCGCAGAGCAGGGAGCCCAATGCGGGGCTCGATCCCAGGACCCAGGGATCATGACCTGAGCCAAAGGCAGATGCTTAATGACTGAGCCACCCAGGCACCCCTCCTTCAGGACTTCTGGAAGCATATTCTTTAAGTATATATCCACTCAGTAAAATGACCTCTCATTACTTTACTTAAATCCAAAGGTGATTTTTAGACTTCATTTTTCTCTGTCTTTGCAATTTTGACACTGTTGACTTGTGTGTATTTTCTTTTTTTGGTTTCCATATCACTGTGCATTTCTGACTTCTTTCCTACTTCTCTGGCTGCACTTCCTTTTTATATGCTCTTTCTCTGCCCCCATCATATACTGCATTGTGCTCTCTGCCTCCTCTCTCTCTTGCGTGTTCACGTTGAATGAATGCCTGTTGCTGCACGTGTACCAGTTTTCACTAAAGGTCCTGCGGTTCTTCTTCCAGAGTTCTGGACTCACATCCAGGTGTAAACTTCTATTAGTATCTGTATTCTACATCCCACAGGCATCTCACATCAAACATTTTCAACACTGGATTTATTTACCACCTCCATGAATATTTTTTTATATTGATATCTGGCACTAAAAGCCATGTACTTGCTCAAGCTAAACACTTGGGGCTCTCATAGACCCCTTATTTCTTAATCAATAATATCTAATCAATTTTGAAGTGACATTGATTCCATTTCTTAAATGTCTTTGGAAACTACCCGTATCTACGTATTCCTGGTTTAGGCCCTCAAGATCACACAGTATATCCTGATCTCCTCAGCCTCTAGCCTTTGTCCTGTTGGACAAGATATTTCCAAGGGCCCAGAGCATTCTTCTACCCCAGAACTTTTTTGCAGTAACCATTTTGGAAAACTAAGTCTGTAACTTTTATCTCTGAATTCCCATTACCTAGCCCAATGCATGACACATTGTAGATACCCAATATGGATTTGCTATATAAGTAAAATTTCATGGATTCCTACTTCTCTGCCCGATTTCTTTTGTTTAAATGAGACTTACCACAACTTAAAGTTCTCTAGCTCACAAAGGACATCATTTTTCTCCAGAATTAAATTTTTTTAAAAAATCCATCAACTCGGGACGCCTGGGTGGCTCAGTTGGTTGGACAACTGCCTTCGGCCCAGGTCATGATCCCGGAGTCCGAGGATCGAGTCCCGCATCGGGCTCCCAGCTCCACGGGGAGTCTGCTTCTCTCTCTGCCCTTCTCCTCACTCATGTTCTCTCTCACTGTCTCTCTCTCAAATAAAATAAATAAAATCTTTAAAAAAAAATCCATCAACTCAACACTTGAAGAATTACATCTGCTTTCCCACACACACATAATGATGTCTACTCAACTAGAGGCAGTAGAAGGTTGAGACATTTGACAAGTTGTGAACCCTGCAAAATGTGTCTTCTAATTTTTTTTTTTAATCTGACAATAGCTCTTTTGTGTGAGATGACATACTTGTCAGACAAGATTTTCCTCATTTGTGTCTATAGTAGCTACAGATGTGTCCGCCCTTCAAGGAGGTTCTGGCCCTACTCCAGTCTCTTCCATCCTGCTATATCTGCATCATGCCTGTCCTAGACACAATATGAGGGACCTTTTCCTTAGATAAGGTGTGATAAAGGTGAATACACCACTGACGAAGTGTGGTTACTGGGATTCATCATTTGTGTTAGGTGGGATTAAAGAGGGAGGCAAAGAGGTGAGACTGTCTAGTTCTAAAGTAAGGCTGAAAGAAAAGCAGAAGATAATACATGCAAAAAGCATCCCTAAGTTAACCATACAACTTGAGTGGAAAGGAAGTGCCACTAATATATGTACAGTGTCACAATGTTTGGTTAAATCACTTCTGACTACGCCTAGCTACTTCAATTGAGAAGCAAAAATCAGACTGCTCAGTAATTGTCAAAGAATACTTAGTTTAATTTTGAAAACTTACACTTTTAAATACTTTATTATAAATATGAAGATATATGTATATATAATAAAATATTTACATAAACATATAACTATGCAAAGAAACAATGATATCAAAATGTTTATAGTGCTTATGTCTTAGTGGTACTTTGGGTAATTCTTATTTTCCTTTTTACCACATTTTTTTCTCCACATTTTAAAATAACATCATTTTGTGCTCATTATAATGAAATGTTTCAAAAAATCTAGATCTTTAGGGGCACCTAGGTGTCTCAGTGGGTTAAAGCCTCTGCCTTCAGCTCGGGTCATGATCCCAGGGTCCTGGGATCGAGCCCCACATCGGGCTCTCTGCTCGGCAGGGAGCCTGCTTCCCCCTCTCTCTCTGCCTGCCTCTCTGCCTGCTTGTATTCTGCATCTGTCAAATAAATAAATAAAATCCTAAAAAAAAAAAATTTAGATCTTTAAAAATACATCAGAGGTGGTGGCTTAGATGGTTAAAAATACATCAGAGACCACTATGGTACAATCTTCAAGATTTTCGTGACTTAAATACTTTGT